CAAATAGGCTAGGCTGAGAATGTCTGGCCCAATAGCACCCCTGACAGCTTCCATGGCAGAACTGGGATTCAAACCTGGGTCAGCCAAATCCTAGTCCAACACTCTAACTATTATAGTGGCTCTCTAGAACCCTTGTACACCAAATGAAGTTTCTGGATCTTCTTCAGAGCAAATTACAGTAATCAAGCCAAGTGGTTCAAAGGTATGTAGGATTCTGGCCAAGGCTGACTTTTACAGGAAAAGCAGATGAAAAAAAACCAACCTAAGAAGGACGTTTTTCACTCCTGGCTCCAGCCATGATCTGCTTGTCAAGCAACAGAGATGGATCCAAGAAGTAATAGCAGTAGGTAGAAAGTATCCTGATACAGAAGGTAAACCACCTTCCCTGGCAAGTGTGTCTTGGCTGCTGTTGTAGTGAGAAACCTGGCAAATGGAGTCTCCCACTCCTCCATCCTCATTCAGCCAGATTCAGACATGTACCAGGGTAGTCAATTTAGCAAGGATTAAATCCTGAACAGCAGTTTCCCCATTCATTGATCTTATATTTAGCAGTAGAACACTGAGACCTGGTGGTTTCCTGGCACAGTTATAGTTAAAAAGAAGGAAAGTCCTAAAAGACAAGACAGAGGCATAGCCAAGACCTAATGGACACAAAACAACAACAAACTGAATCTGGAATGTGTAGTTCTAAATAACATAACACCTTGGAATAATAAAGATAGGTGACAAAGGAGTAAAATTGCCAAGGGGTATTTTTAAATGCTTGGTGTGCTATTGACTGATATTACAAGCAATGCAAAATAACAAATGGTAAAAACAATGATCTTCCTACAATTAAGCATATATAAATAATAAAACACAACAGACAGAAGAATGACAAGAATGACAGTTACACACTTGTTTCAATATTCTCACATTATTTTCTTCATATTATATATAGACCCTGTCAAAACATTCCTAAACTAAAAGACCCTGTATCCTCATGGTAACTTATGAAGGTACAGATAATAGCTGCAGAGGTCATAGTAGTACTTTCTAACAATCTGAACTATCAATATAATGATATTACAAAAGAATCTAATTAATCTAATACCAAGCAGCTATAAAGTCATTCAGTTCCTTTATCCTAAAAGCATAGAAGTAGACAGAAATAACTAAGACACAAAAACAGGTTGTTTTTTCCAACTATGATTGTATTCTGTCGTACAAAAACAAGTCTAAGCCTTTGGTCTCATTTTGGCAACACAAAATTTACACCGGCCCTGAAAAACAACTTTGCACTGTAAAACTCTACACAAATTGTCATATGCTACAAAGACAACTTTTTCCTATGATAATACTCAAGATAAAAGTCCGTATCAAATATGAGTCAAGGTAAGGACTGATTAATAACACCTTTTCTGTGTTGACCAGTAATGTGGAATGTAGCATGAAGAAGAGAAGCGACATAGGCAGGCTGTATACAAGAATTAACAAGACACAGCTGCTTGCCTTAGAGAACAGCTTCAAATGACCGACTTAAAGGAACATGTTCTAACCGTACTCAATATAAATGAGGACACAATGTTATTGCTCCAGTTAGCCTACACAAATGATGATAGATCTAGCCTGTAATTAAGGCCTCAAGGGACCCGGATTTAACAATGTGAACCCAAAATGCCTCTCTTCTCAAGTGAGTCTGTTCTATGACTATAGGTCTGAATGGAAAATATTATACTGTTTCTAAAGCCAAGAATCTAAAACCTGATGGGTTGTGCGCACACCATTAGAAAAGTTCTGTTAAAGGAGCCTCTCATAATGCTTAAGTCATGGCTTTGATTTCATTGTCTTTCATGACAAAGAAACCAAGGCCTCCTGCACTGGGAAGTGGTCCAGAAGACATCCAAGTCTATGCTCTAATCTCCTGTTCTTTCACATTTCAGTTCCTCAGTATACTACCCTCTACCTATATGTAAAAATGCCTCCGGATCTACTAACAGATTGTCTTTGCAAGCCTTGCCTAGAGCACTGATTATGTTTTTAGTGACACAAAACAGGAAAACACCAATCTGAGAACCTAGATCGTTTCATTTAGCAGGAACAAATCAGAACTGAAGACAATTGTCGGCATATCAGTGCCTAACATCTGTTTAGCCCAGACAATGTAGTACATTACACAGTTTTGCAGCCACCATCAAGTGGCAGCCACATCTATTAGCAGGAGCTGGCTTGCAGTCACTACCAGGTTTTCCGATTCTCCATTTCTGATTAAACCTCACAGTGATGATCAGTCACCTGTGAAGTCCATTTCTCGCTTCACACTGACATGCCCAGCAGCTGAGATGTGCGCCAGTGAAACCTGATAAACTGACCTGCAGAGAAGGCACTCCAGTTGAAATGAAAGCTAATGAGCAGGTCAGAGAGGTAAGGGAACAGCGCCAAGCGGAGAAGATTCAGGGAAGCAGAAGAATGGGTGGGCATGGAGGGAAATGTGATGACTATTGATAATTGTTAAGTACCTTGACTCCAGTATGCAGACTCCACAATATGAAAAAATAGAAAGTGAAAGAAAACCTTGACAATGCATTTTTTTTAAAGAAAGAACAAACCTGAATGACATACTTTGTTAAAAGCTCGTTTGGTACTTCTAGAAGAAGGTGTATGCAAGATATCGTGTAGGCATTTGATGATAATGCCAAATAATGTCACTCTGTAAGAATAATGGAAAACTCATTTTTAGAATGGATTTTAAGGTTGGATTTGGTTTTTAACTGGCTGTCCAAAATGGGAGTAAATTGGTCTTTGGAGAAGACCCTGCAGAAGGGTCTTCCCTAAGGTCTCAGGGAAGACACAGTGATGTCAATAATTCAATTTTTCAGGTCTGGAGCCATAAAAACTGTGAGACTGTCAGTATCTGCTGTGTCCTTCTTGTATGGATTAGGATCTGTAATTAATCTGGGACACCCAGACTGATTGATCCATTTTTGGCAGCTGAAAAACTGACACGATGCAAACAAGTTTGAATTATATTTTAACGAAAGTTCTGATGCTATTTTTTTACTAGCTATTTCTAGCTAATGTGTGTGATTCTGGTGTGCTTGGGCTCCTTGAAGCTCAGTTCCCAGCTGAGCCATCGAACTCCATGAGCAAAGTTTTCCCTCACCCTAAGTGATGGTCCCCATCCCTACGGGCAGTGACACAGAGCATTCCATCAATGACATCCTACTGTAACTGTTAGCATTTCTGCAACTGTCTATGGTAGAAGTACACTTCATATTCAGGCTTTGATACGGTTACATCTTTAAAACATCTCTACATTCCAGTTTTCCACTCCATCTCTGCATCACATGGGACAAAGGAAAGATGACAGACACAAGCGCTGGACTACATTTTCCAATCACCAAAAATGTTCACTGCTGCTTTCAAAATGGATGGATGGAGGGAAAGCATGCCTGAACAGCACTATTCTGCCTATCAACCAGTTTCCAACAAAATTGCACACCTTTTCAGGTCAGGGCTGTTTCATACACTGTGCATTTCTTACAAATGGCATTTTGGTGTGGAAAACTGCACACACCATTTCTGCGTGTCATATGGAATGAATACATCTCTTTCATATGTGTGAAGCTCTGATTATTGTATATATGGAATGTGATGCTCTGATTCATGATGGATCCCCACAGCACGTAAATGTGGCAAAGCAAATGAGAAGGAAGGGGAATTGTGGAAAGATGGTTGCCAGGTCGGAACATCCAGGCTGAGTGTTTGTCTCTCTCTTGTGCAAGTACATAGCTTGAGGGTCATAGCCTAAAGCCAGCAGGAAGATCCGCAGGTGTGCACGGGGGGGGGGGGAATCTCCAGCACAATTAGAAGCCCTTCTCCCTTCTTTCTCCTGTTGTTTTTTTTATTGCTGTCCTCTTATTTTATTTGTGTGTGTGTGTTCCCAGTTGAGGATAAAGGTGAGATACAAATGGATAAACAAATCATACAAGGAACAGCAATTTCCTTCATGATAATTATACCTGGGACATAAATGTGTAATGTTTGAAGTAGTCCCCAGCAACAGAAAAATGCTTGCAATACAATTTTCCCACTTGGTAAAAGGATGTACCTTTCAGAATCTTGTAGATTTCAGTGGGTTCAGTGTCCCTCTGACTTGTTGCCAAAATTCTTTGCTCTGTGCAACCATTAAAGGTACAACAGCCTTGATTTACTTTGCACTGGCTTATTGTATTCCTACCAGCCCCCAAGCTGTTAAGCTAATGTTTAATTTTAAGCTAATGTTTAATTTTAATTTGTGCACATGTATTGATAACACTCACAACATGGGAGACTCCAGAGACACTGCGGTTTCAACCAGTCAGAAGCTGCACTAAAATAACATGCAAAAACTTTTGTGCAGTTAAACTACATGAGGGTAGATCTGGTCGACCACTTTGTCTGTTTACTGATTTATTTCTTTTTGCACACAACATACACACACAATTTTCAATGATCTTTTTGAAGGTTGCAATCTGTCAATCTGTTTAGATAATACGTGCACTTTGATGAATAATGCACGAAGCAATAAGGGGCAGAAAGCCTCTGTGGCTTAATAAAGCATGCTTGTTTTTTTGCTACTGTTCTTCCAGGAACTTTGTAAAGCTGTCTCGAAGCATGAAATACAAGAGGAAGACCCTGGGAATAACAAGATTCATTTCACAGGATGGAACCAGCTGCTACGTCTAAAAATGGAATGATTATAAAAGAAGGCAGACATTTAAAAACCTGCCATTTTTATTACTTTGGCTTCAGGGAGCACATGGATAAAGTCGAGCGACAACAGGCTATTAAGAGAAGCATTCCTCTTGGGGGTCTAGTTGGTGGAGAGGCGATTCAGAAATGCTATAAATAAGTAAGATTGGTTTAAGCCCCTTGAAAAGTTATAGCAAAACTTTTATTTTTAAATATGTGATTTTTGCCTTCGTTTTCAAACTCTAAATACATTCGCTGACTATTTAGGGGGGGAAGAAATACTCTACCAGTCGGATCAAAGTCTGGAAAATAATCCGGGCAGTTTTGCTCAGCTTCTTCTCCAGCAGGTGTGTCATCCCAACAGAGCCATCCATCCCACGTACGGTTACAGAACAGACCTAGAAAATTCAAAAAGTACAAGACTTTACTGGGGTTTGTTTTGAGAGGATAGCGGGACTTACCTTGTTCTTTTATATTAAAAATGATCCCTCTCGTTGGTTTACCTAATGAAATACCGCATTTAGAAGACATATTTTTTTAAATCTGTTGACAGCTGCACTAATGTATTTATTTACAAAACTTATATCTCTGCCCTCCCAGGGGCCACAAAGGTGACTAACAAATTAAAACACACATAATAAAAAAAATCACATTTAAATTTTTAAAAAATCAACCATCACAAAAACTACATATTAAAACAATTAAAAACAGAGCTAAAATACACACAAAGACATTAAAAAAAATTAAAACATTGTTCACAAAGGAGGGATCACCAAACATAATAAAAAAGTCTTCACCCCCCGGCAGAAGAAGGCAACAGAAGGGAACAGACAAATCTCCCAGGGGAGAGAAGTTCCAGAATTTGAGAACCAGCAATGGCTGTGCTTTACATTCACATTTACAGAAATTATTAACACTTCTGCTATTTTTAAATTGGAAATTACATTATATAATAGCCCCAAACTAAAAACTGAATGTGGCTTAAGGTTTGACTAAATTCACACCACGGTCATAATCCTGCTCTTGGGCATGGAGATGGAAAAATATTGGTGGTTGTTCATGGAAGGCTGATCCCATCACTGCTAAGAATCCACTCTTGGAATGAGTCATCTGCACGGGGACAAGGACTGGGTAGCCACATGTGGGAGAAAAGAACAGCCACACATTTTGTCATAAAGTTAGTACAAAATGTGTGTTTGTTTAGTGCAGTCAACTTGCTTCCAACTTATGGCAATGTCCTATCATTAGCAGCCAAAACATCCTGTCATTAACAGCCTTGCTCAGGTCTTGCAGACTGAGGACCATGGCTTCCTTAACTGAGTCAATCCATCTCACGTTGGGTCTTCCTCTGCTCCTGCTGCCTTCAACTTTTGTTAGCATTACTTCCTTTTCCAGTGAGTTTTGCCTTCTCATAATGTGGTCAAAGTACAATAGCCTCAGTTTCATCACTATAGCTTCTAGGGAGAGCTCATGCTTGATTGGATATATAACCCATTTATTTGTCTTTCTGGTGATCCATGGTATCCACACAACTGTCCTTCATTGCCACATTTCAAATAAATCAATTTTCTTCCTCTCAGTTTTCTTCATTGTCCAGCTGTTGCACCCATATATACTAATGGTGAATACTGTTGGCCATTGTTTTGTTTTCCATATCTGTTAGCATATTCTTGTTAAGATTTTGATGGACTCCATTTCTGTGTTTTGGAAGAGCTCCATTGCTATCCCATCGACTCTTGGTGATCTGTTTCTTCCAATTGCTTTGAGTGCAGCTTTCACTTCACTTTCTAAAATTGCACATTCTTCTTCAAAAGATTATTCTTGGAAGGAATCGGTCATCTTTTCATCTCTTCTGTAAAGCGCTTCAGTACATTGTTCCCTTCTTTTCTTTATTTTGTCCTGTTTGGTGAATATATTTCTGTGTCGATCTTTCAGTATGCCTAACATCGTTTTAAATTTCCCCCTGATTTCTTGGCCCCTGTGGAAAAGATCTCTTGTTCTTCCTTTTTTGTTCTTCTCTTCGATTTTTTTACCCTGGTTGTTATAACAACTTTTATGAGGTGACAATTTCTCATAAGTGTACTGCACAAGGTCTAAGATCTTTTTTCTAAATCTCAACATGTTAGAAACATTAAGGAGGAAACCCCCCCATGTCCTGAAAAAAATTAGTACAAGTCACCTCATGGTGACTCTACCATATTTTTAAAAAAAGGAATGTGAGAATATGACTTTAGATGCCTTAGTTACACACCCAAATGCAATCAGGAACACTTTTATGCCCTAGTTTTTGGGAGTTGCTACACCTTTCTGCGGTGGCTCAAGTGGTTAAGACGCTGAACTGCAGGCTGTGGAAGGTCAGTAGTTCAGCAGTTCAAGACCCGGGTGCCACATGATGGACTGAGCTCCTGTCTCTAGTTCCAGCTCCTGCCAACCTAGCAGTTCGAAAGCAAGAAATTGCAAGTAGATAAATAGGTACCACTTTGGTGGGAAGGTAACAGCATTCCGTGCGCCTTGGTGTTTAGTAATGCCGGCCACATGACCACGGAAACGTCTTCGGACAGCGCTGGCTCTTCGGCTTTGAAACGGAGATGAGCACCGCAACCCTAGAGTCGGATTCGACTGGCTTTCGAGCAAGGGAACCTTTACCTTTACTTTACACCTTTCTGTTACTGGAAACAGCTGTATGCAGCAAGCCTAGGTCTACAAAATTATCTGTCTGTCTGTCTGTCTAGTACTGCTCATACAGCTATCACCTTAAGCAGAAATTAGGACCCAAAATATTTTAAAAGACTGTACTTAGTATTATTTTTTTTATATTTGGTTATTGCACCTATGAATTTTGCCACTGAGAGGGTGACACAATCATTTGTATCCAATAGTAAACCAAGCCACCTGGGCTTGCACATTTAGCAATTCTGTATCTTTAAGTAAAGGGGTGACTAAATTAGCCCTCAACCCATTTAATATAGGGCACTCGATAATCATACGTTTGATGGTTTTGATTTTATTATAAGAGCATTTGCATGTTCTATTAGAGTGCGATACTCTTATTATATCTGCCCTTCAAAACCACCAAGGGAAGAACGTTCATTCTTGCCAGAGTAAAAGCTCTTCCTAGTTTTGGGATTGTCAACTGGTAAAAATATTTCAACAGTTACATTGGGAGGGCAATTCCCAAATGGAGTGTTGAACATACCCTGTGCGCCCTAATAGATGTATTGTAACATCCAACTTCCTTATATTGTCTTTAGTTTCTGTATTCTTAATCATATATCATTTGTTATTTCTAGGCATTTTATTTCTTTTCCAATAGTTGATCCCATTGGCTATAATGTTTATCTGCCTGGATACGCCCAAGTATCCTTAAAACCTTTACTTTACTTTACTTTGATGAGAAATGCGCTAATCCAAGCCCTAACTTCCATTGATAATTTGTCTAGTTCCTCTCTCAGTGCTATGCCTGAGGAACATTTGCAGTGTTCCCTCTAAGCTGAGTTGGTGTGAGCTAGCTCACAGTTTTTTAGCCTCCGGCTCACAGATTTTTGTGTTCGCTCAGGAAGGGTGGCTCCAGAGCAAACTAATGAATGCAGAAGCCAAAGCGCTGGCTCACAACTTTAATGCCCATAGCTCACAAAGTAGATTTTTTGCTCACCAGACTCCACAGCTTAGAGGGAACATTGTTTAGGAGTAGTCGATAAGCACTGAAAAAAGTCATACTGGATGGAATCCATTTTTTCAGAAGCAGCCTGAATCCAAATTTCCACATCATACAGGAATTTGTTTAGAACCTTAGCATTAAATACCTTTAAGGCCGAGGGGGCACATTCACTTCCTGATGAAGTTTTTTACAATTGTCCTCCCTACTCTCAAGGCTGTGCTCCTTGCTAGATCCAAGTGTATTCTCCATGTGAGAGATGCTTCATCGTGGATTCCCAGATATTTAATTCGATTGACCTGTTCCATAGGTGGACCTGCTACGTCCCATTTGAAGATTTTCCCCTTTTCCCTTTTGGTGAATACTATGACTTTGGATTTCGCCACATATGAATTCTTAAGGGTGTTTTAGATCATACCCTAAGGAACTCGCTATCCTTTGTATAGTCATCTGGGAGGAAACACTCATTGGTTTTGATAGCCAGACTTGAAGTGAGCTGGAGTTTATTCTTTCATATAGAATGACACATATTTGTGCAGTGAAGAAAAAACTGTGCAGCTGGGCATGTGGGCCTAGGCGCTTTGTTTTTTAAAATACACTAAATAAGATAAAAAGGAATAGAAAACGAAGCGACTGTCTTTTCAGTGTTATATCCTTTGTTTGTTCTTTACTTCTGTAATTTCCAGTGTGTTTGTTTGCGTGCTGGGGTTAGGGAGGGGGGGGTTGTGCTGTTGTACTGCATACTTATATAATAGAGAATAAAACTAAAAAAAACCCTCTGAAGTGACCTTTCAGTGCTCTTCTTCTGCCCCAAAAGGATGGCAAACATTTCTTAAAGAAGCATAGTAATCAGATTTACAGACACAGGAAGATTTTAAAAGATGACAATGACTATGGAAACTTTGTGCTGGGTGTTGACAAGTGAGAAGATATGCTTGGCTAAAAATGGAAACTGGAAAACATTCCAAGTCCATTTTGTTTCACTTGTGATCCAAGTGGGATGTATATATTTCCCCCTCCCTTATAAAGATGGATGAGGTAAAATACTTGGTCCCATTATTAACAAATCATGGCAGCATTTCTGTCTGGTATCCAATTACACCCTCCCCTGGCAAAATCATTTTTCTTTCTGACTGTTTTCTTCCAGGATTTGGCTGCATGTGTATAAGCTGAAAGAATCACTTTGTGCAATCAATGACAGAGATAAGCAGGAGAACCAGACTGCATTTCTGAAACTCAGCAGTGTAGGGTATACAGGTTTTTGTTTAATTCTATCATGTTTGGCCATTCAGTGAAATGGAGAGAAACCCCCCCACTGTGTTTTCCAACACAACGTATTTCCTCCCCCCAGGAAAATCAACAGGACCAGCCCATTATTCTTGCTTTATGGCAAACAGTAAACTAATTTTGTTGCTCTGCAGTGTTATTCTGCACACATATTTGAAACTGTTATTTGTAATTCCAAATTATTGGCTGCTGCAATAAAATAATCAAACTCATTTTTTTCTGTCTCCTTTCCCCCAATGAAATCCTCCCAGGACTGATTGAAAAATAAGGTGGGTAAGCAAGAACTCTCCTGTATATCCTTGTACTATTCAGCTCCTTGTTAAGTGGGCCATCATCTGCTATGTGTACATTCTTAGCACACCACAGCAGTACCCAGCTGTGCTACATATCATTGGTATGCTAACACCGCATGCACAGTAGCTGAGGACCCAATGTAAAACAAGACAGACATGAGCAACTCCACATGCATTATTTTTCCCCTTTCCCCCCATTACCTAGCGTTGCCATCCTCCAGGTGGGGTTTGGAGATTTCCTGGAATTAAAATCTCCAGACAACAGAATTAGTTCCCTGGAGAAAATGGCTGCTTTGGAGGGTGGAATCTATGGCATTGTTGTTGGGTACCCAAAGGTTTGGTGAGAGAAAATTATAAGAAATAAATGAAACAAAATATATGTATTTATTACAAAGGGTGCGTTCAGATGGCTCTTTAGATCCGCGCGAGGCACGAGTGCCTCATGGATTTAAATGTAATGTCTAGACATCAACATCTTGGAAATGTCCGTCTTCCATGAGCATCCTGTTTTGCCATGCTTTGGTGCCGTACTAAAAAGGTACTAGTTAAAATCTGGAGTTTTCAGTTCCAACGGGCCAATCGTGGACTTGCCCCCGTCTGATCGTTCCAGCGAGCAAATAAAAAATGATGCCCTTTCGGGATGGTCAGACCATCCCGAATGGGTGCCATTAAAAAAAAAATCTTGATTTTGCGCATGCGTGGATAAACAAGGCCGCAATATCACGCCCATGTGCATGCGCAAAAAGTTTTTTTTAAAAAAAAACCCACCGTGTGTGCCTCCTTCAGTGGGTGCTGTCTAGACAATCCACAGCGCACGGTAAGGCGATTCCCCCGGGGATGTCTGGTCATGTGAGGATTAGCTGCTTGTCTGGACACAGCCAAAGTATACTAAAACTCTAATTTAAAAACATAGGCCCATTCCACCCTTGAAGTTGTGAATATTTGAACTAAGAAATCCTGAATCATATAACATATAACAATTCAATATCTCTAGGTGAAGAGCCTTGAACCAATAAAACAGGACCAACAATTCAATATCTCTAGGTTGATAACCTTGAACCATATTAAAAAGGACCAAGGCCTTCCTCTATGGTCAAATTATTGTCTACATGCACTACATGACATATAAACATGTGTTAGTTTGGGGAGGCTCTAAATAAAAAATATTAAAATTACTAAATATTAAAATTACTAAACTACTATTTTGTTGTTGTTGTTAATGCCATGGGGCCTCTTAAAGTTGACATAGTTTAGGACGTCAACATGTCTTCTGGCTATGGGAAGAGAATCTTAACTGTCTATTGGGTTGCCAAGTCGAAAATCGTCGGGAGTGGGGGACTCCTGCCTGGCATCCTATGCGCGCGCGCCGCACGCACATCACCAGGAAGTGACGTTATGACACCAGGCATGCTGGGGGTGGGGCCACAACCATCCAAGGGGGAAACATAGAGTTTCCCCCTCAGATGGTTGTGGCCCAACCCGCCGGCATGCCCAGCGTCATAACATCATTTCCTGGTGACGCGCACGCCTAGGTGGGGTTCCCCCCCGGGGCCCAATATGCCGGCGGCGGGGAACGGGCCTCTGGGGCGGGGGTTTCCCCGCCCCCCGGGGGGACTTGGCAGCCCTAACTGTCTAGCTGGCCAGTACAGGAGCAGGCAGTCCTTCAGGAATCCTGGCCCCAAGCCAGGCCCAGGGCCTTAAAGGTAAGAAACAGTCCTTTGAACTGAACACAGAAAGGATGTGTCATGATCTGGGATGTGCCATCAGAGGCCTACCAGGCCCAGGGAGCCTGGCTAACAGTAGGGGAGGCTGGGCCTACAAACCCCAGAAGGCCTTGGGAAGTTTTGGTGCTGATCTTGACCAATAGGAAGAAGAGGTCTGGGGTATATAAGAACTGATACAAGAGGAAAAGCTGTTTTTCCTCCCAGGGAACAGAGCCATAAGAGAGGCTGCTGTGGGGAAGAAACCCTCATCCTGAGGGAAGGGTGAGTAGTCTAAGGCCACTTGAGATAGTGAGCTAGGAACAGTATATTTAGATGCGTTAGGGCATTTGATTTCTTTTCTTTTCACCCACTTACTGTTTTTATTCCTGCACCTTGTTTGTTTGACCTCCAATAAAATAAACCATTTTCATTGTTCACTCTGCCTGGTCCTCACGCTCATTTCGGCTAGAAGTCTGAAGGTCTTGGGAGGGTGCTCTGGGCCTTCTCAAGTGATCCTAAATACAGAGTGGTGGCAGCGTCAGGTGACACCCCACCTGAGCCGTGACAGGATGTATGGAACGAAACAATGACTTTCAGATACAAAGAATTCATTCTTTATTAAAACCTATTCAACAAAAAAGTACTTTAGAATGGCAAGTTCTGAAAGGATAGCCATGGTAGTCTGTCACAGAGGAACACATTTATTTATTTAGGCTTATATTCTGCCCTCCCTGCGAGCAGGCACAGAGCAGATGACAACGGAAGTTAAAACATTTCATAATACGAATTAAAACAATTCATAATAAATCTTCCACAATAAATAGTTAGAACAGATTAAAACAAAGCTATAAATAAGACAGATGACACGGCAGTTTGGTATGGTAGTCACAAAAACTGGAGCCACTCAGCCATAGACCAGACTATGGGTCTTCACCAATGCTCCCTCCAAGCTGTGGAGTCTTGTGAGCAAAAATTCTACTTTGTGAGCTACTGGCACTAAAGTTGTGAGCGAGCGATTTGGCTACTGCATAAATTAGTTTGCTCTGGAGCCATCCTTCCTGAGCTAAGAAAAAAATGTGAGCTGGAGGCTAAAAACTGTGAGTTACCTCACACTGGTCTTCACCTGATGGGCCATTCGAAGATGGAAAGTTCAGCAGGGGAGGCCAATAGATGGAATAATACAGGAGTCTTGCGACACCTTAAAGCCATCACATTTTTATCGCAGCATAAGCTTTCATGGACTAGAGCTCCTGATGAAGTAGACTGTGGTCCCCAAAGATTTATGCTGGAATGAAAATGGTTAACCTTTAAATTTCCACGAGATTGCTGCTGGCTCTCAGACTAAATCTCCCTTATGGCAAAGGGACCATTTCAGGTTTTGATAGGAATTTCAGTGCAGTGATGGAAGCACAAGATTTATAGGAGGACTGAAAGCCACCTTCTGGGATATTTGACAGTATACTGCCCAAAGGCCGTGTTTTTTAAGAGCTCTTGTGCGTAGTTCCTCCTTTATCCCTCATAATAACTTTTTATATAGGAGCGTTTGAAAAATAATCACATGTAGTTTCCACAAGTTTTGTCTGTTTAAAATACCTGTGTCCTATAGTATGCTGTTAAACAATAAAAGCCACACAAAACCAGTAGCATAAAAACACATTAGAGCAGGAGTTAGAAACCATTAAAAGCAGCTAATCAGCCTACAAACTGCAGCACTGAAGCTTTAATTCAATAATAAACACTGTTTATTGTGCAAGCAGAAATTTTTAAAAATCCTTCAAATGCAGTAGGCAAAAGAGAAGGCACAGTTCAACCAAACACCTGGGAAAAGTTTCAGGATCATTTATTAGCAGACAAATCCATAATGAAAAATGTTGGCCTCACCAACTGTGCAATCCTAGACAGTTACACCCTCCTAAACCCCTTGAACTCAGTGGAGTTAGAAGACTGTAACTGTTTACTGCAAATGTATCCAGCAAGGTTGTCAGATTTATACTTTTTTTTTGCTCACAAGACTGCTGTAAGGAAAACCATTGCAAAACCTTAGTGCAGAATTTCCCTTGTGATTTCTGCCTTTACATTAATTCTAATTTCTTCCTGTAACCTTGATGAATCCCAAAGTTATTTCAAAGTCTTTTGTTCTACTTTTACCTTTTTGTGCATAAGGCAGCTCTCTGTTCATCCTCTCGTAGCATTTGAACTGGGAATCAACTATCTTCTGGCGGATTGCTGGATTTTCAGTTGCTATAGGTTCTAGTGTGGGGTCAGTATCATTGACAGCAGAAGAAAGACTTGGAGCCATTCTCTGTGCAAAGAGGAAAACTTGTTAATGTCTGTCAGGAAAAGCAGGAGAACAGACTCAAACACATGAGAGTCACAGATACCCATCGTTCTTACTTCAAAGACCTTTTTATCCACACATATGCACAGTGTTGCTATGGAAATGTAATTGGGTTTGTATGTGTGTGTGTGTGTGTTTGTGTTTCTGCTAGCAAAATGTATTTTGACTGTTCTAAAGGAACCTGTTGTGAAGGGATTGGTCTGTACAAGATTAAAAAAGACATTGCCAAGGGTTGCTGACTTTGATTACCCACAGGAGCATCTCTTGTGCTTCCCTATGGTAACCATCCATCAGGGGCCATGGCTTCAATATCCACTCATATCAGAACAACCTGCGTGGGAACTCTGGGCTAGACCTCTATGGTTGGAGGGAAGCTGATCAGTAGTAACTCTGTGTGAACTTCTAGCCATAAACTCATAATGTGAGGGCATCTGTGAACAGATTTTTTTTTTCCTGTTGAGCTGCAGCTTGAAAGAAAAAAGAAAATAAAAACCCACCTTGAGTGTGCCAGTAGGGTGGGGGGGAAAGGATTTCCTAGATCTCTGCCTTGTTTTATTGTCATCTTTAGGTATTCCCTCAGCAACAATGACTGTGCTAGCTAAACTGTCAGTTTCCATATCGGGATGGTGAGGGAACAGTGCCAGAATGGAACTCCACATGACAGTGTATATAAGTGTGTTACTCAGCAGGGATTTAAACTCTGAGACTTAGTGACATTGGCAACCTATTGTGGGAACTGAATTTTTTGTTTCTGTTCTTGTAATATAGCTGCACAACGTGTGTTGTACTTCAGAAGTGCTATTGTTCATCAGGGCACTGTGACTCATGTAAACTACAGAGTGGGCAAGTCCTGTCCCTGGGATTTGACACCTCATTGGTCCTCACCACCACAGTGCACCTGCTGTAGGCCCAACCACCTTGTTTTCTTACTATACTGTGAATACACAGGAACACTCGAAATAGTCACTGGGAACAGAGCGAAAGTGTAGAAGAGGCAGTGTCTCTGTGGGCTAGTTAGCAGCCACAGTGGACCGGATGTGGTCCACCAACTGAGGACTGCATTAATTAAGAGTTCAGGCAGCAGGAGTGCCAAGCCCTCCTGAGTTTTCACAAAAAAGGTCAGGAAAGCTCCCAAACTTCTGGCTTTCCGTAAACTCTGAAATACAGAACTGTTCAGGAGGGCATTTTTATAAAGGAATACAGCTGCATTGTAAGAGAATGATCCAGGAAGATGTATTGATAGATAGAACAGGACTGTGGATACATTATCTGTCGCTATATGTTTTTTTATCTTGGTCTCACTGCATTCATGTTTAAGATTTATGCCTTGTTTTTTCCCCTGCAGTCCTAGTCCTTTTACTTCATTAGAAGTCTCCTAATCCTATTGACTGTACTTACATTATGTAGTCTACCTTTAGTCTCTGTGAGAAAGGTGGACCATAAATAGCATAAATAAATAAACTAGGCCAGCAGCAAATGTGAGGGTCTGCCTCATTGGCTGTATTCCAGCTTTTGGTGTGTGCGTGCTAAAAGTTCTAGAATGGAAACCAGGAAACCTACACTTTTGAAACTCTAATTCCCTAAGACCAGCAAGCAAGTAGCATAGTCTGAGCTACTGTTTGTTATCTTATTTATGGCCCCTGCCACACGGCAGGGAAACCACGAGGCAAAAGCGCGGCTAATAGAGCCGCTCCATCGTTGAGACGCTGCGGCGGGATCCCACGGATCCCCTGGCCGCAGCGCCTCTTCTCCCCGGCAAGAGCACACGCCGGGGAGGACGAGCCCGATGGGAGGGGGAGGCTGCTGAACTGCGCATGCCCGAGCATGCGCAGTACGGCCGGGGGCTGGGATGCGGCGGCACAAGGACGCGCCGCCGATCCCACGGCCGGCTTGGGGCGCTCCAGACGGCTGCAACCACCTAGATAGGTGGTTCGTTTTTGCAGCGGGGTATCGCCATTTGGGCCGGATCAGGGACGGAGACGGCACGCTCCCCAGATGTTGAGGTGGGATCGCGTCCGTTTGCTCCGCCCCTGTTCCGTCCCGCTCCCGTCCCAAATGGGCTCGTATGAACAAGGCCTATGTATGTATTTACTTAATTAATACCCTGCCTTTCTCCCCAATGAGGACCCAAAGCAGTTGACATCATTCTTCTCTATTTTCCTCCTCATAACAACCCTGTGACATAAATTAGGTTAAGAGCAGTGTTCCCTCTAAGCTGAGTTAGTGTGAGCTAGCTCACAGTTTTTTAGCCTCCGGCTTGCACATTTTTGTCTTCACTCAGGAAGGATGGCTCTGGAGCAAACTAATTTATGCAGTGGCCAAATCACTTATTCACAACTTTAATTCCAGTAGCTCACACAGTAGATTTTTTGCTCACAAGACTCCACAGTTTAGAGGGAGCACTGGTTAAGAGCGTGTGACTGGCCCAAGGCCACCCAGTAGGCTTCCACGGCAGAGTGGCAATTTGAACCTGGGTCTCCCAGATCCTAGTCCAATGGTTTAACCAACTATCCCACACTGGTTGCTATTATTTATTATTTATTAGTTTGATTTATATCCTGCCCTCCCAAAGGCTCAGGGCGGCTCACATGCGGCAAAGCCAAGTGCAAAATATAATACAACATACAATAAATAGAACATTTAAAATCACAATAAAACCTTCCAATAATACGGTGCTATAGGACAGAATACTATTTGAATTGCTACTGTTATGTGTTAGTGCTGCATTTTTATATTTTTCACTGGTATATGTTATGAAATATTGTGCTATTACTAGGATGTTGTGCTGCTTTCTCCATTGCAAGGAGCAGGCCATAGGGTTGCTTGGCAGATCCCTAGATATTTGGGAGTGGTATCTGGGGAGAGTAGAGTTTGGGGCATATAGGTAGCTCAGTGAGGATGTGATGCCACAGAGCCCACCCACCGAAGCTGCTATTTCCTCCAAGGTAGCTATGTCTGGAGATCAGCTGTAATTCTGGGAGAACCTGAGGGCCTACGCTGAAGTTTGTAACCCTAGCAGGATACTGTGACCATACCAGAGTTTTGCATACAGCGGCAAACTCAGGGTTGGGAAATTGCTGGAGGCAGAGCCTGGGAGGGAACTCAGTAGGGATGTAATGCCATAGAGTCTACCCTCCAAAGATACCATTTTTTCCCCAGGGGAGCTGATTTCTTTAGTCTAGAGATAAGTTGTAATTCCAGGAGAACTTCAGGCCCCACCTTGAGGCTAGCAACATGAGTTTTGCAGCACATCTTCATTTAGCAGCACAGTCATTCGCTGCTGACCTGTTTGTACCAAACGTCCTGAAGAAGCAGATCTACACATGCAAAGCAACATATCCATGGATCTGCTTCTTCTCTTCTGAATTTTTAGTTTAAAATGTTTATAAAAATTGATGTGCTTCCCCAATGGCAGTGGTCCAAGGTTGTAATCACAAATGTGCTTTAAAGGCAAACTCTGAAATATCTGTTCATTTTAATGTTTACTTTTTGACTCTGGGCACTCATCACTATTGCTCTTTACCCTGAGAACACGAGCAGGTGACTCTGTTAAAACATTTCCCTTTTGCTACATTAGTCTTGGCTAAATCGTGGGTTTAGCCTCTTGTGAGGGGTTCTGGAAGTAAGATTATCTCTCTCTTTTAAAAGCCATTTGCCTTGCCTCTGCAGTTTTACAAACGTATTTGATGATTTAAACAGATGTTGTACAAAAAGGAAACATGAACATCTGCAGACTTAAATAACAACCTCTATCCCCCCACAAGAATCCCTTTCTTATGCCGTTATGTCTTATCCTTATGTATTCATGGGTTAAACAGTGAAACAAAATCAAATTCATTGATTTGCAGTTCAAGTCTTACATCTAATTCCTTCGTGAAATAGATTCAAAGTCCACGGAAACATATGCAGGTCAATATATCCCAGGTTTCATCCATTTTGATAATTTGTTTTACTAGAATGAGTTGAGATACATGGCACCCTTTATTATGGCTTTTTCATTATTCTTTATTGACAGTTTGAGATCTAGAGTTGCCAATTCTGGTTTGGGAAATTCCTGGAGATTTGGGGGTGGAGCCTGGGGAGGGTGGGGCTTGGGGAGGGTGAGGTTTGGGGATGGGAGAGACCTCAGTGGGGTATAATTCTATAGAGTCCACCCTCCAAAGCAGCCACTCCCTCCAGGGGAACTGATCTCTGTAGTCAGGAAATCAGTTGTAATTCTGGGAGATCACCAGGCCCCACCTGTCGGATTGAAACCCCATGCCTCCCGGCATTTGCTTGGGCTACGGCAAGAAAGAGCTTGCTCAAAACGTGCATCCTAACATCTTCTGTATTCACTTTTCCACACTATTACCAAATGACAATTTGTTTTCTAAATATTCAGTGGAATTAGTGAAGACTGGACTGAATGTGAAGTTCCTCAGCTACATCATGAAGAAACTGAGTGGTAAGCTAAATACAGAGGGCTGCATCCCCAGCTCTAGAAATGAATGCAATCATTTGTTCAGTATATTTTCTATATTACGCACAACAAGCATATGGCATTAGTGTAAGAAAAGTAATAAATATTGCAAAATTACATGAATAGTTGCAATTAACAAGAACATTTTGGCTAGAAGAGATTTTTTAAAAATCGTATTCACTTAGATCAGGATGCAAATAACCTACTGTTATTATTGTCCAGGAACCAAAGAGCTACTTTAGAGGCACCTAAGAGCAGGGGTATGGCCTTTGTTGTTTTTGACACTGAAAGAAAACGTTGGACAAATCCCCCCCCATGCCACACTGCAAACTGCTTTCCTCCTCAGCTCAGTATGCCATGAGTCGGGGGAGGCACTATTTGAGAACTACCAGCCCAAAGGTGCCTTAAAGGTTTGGACCTACTTACACCATTCTTTGGGATCCTGGCTAACACTGAGCATTACATTCACTTTCACAATATATTGTCAAAACAACCATTACCCAGGGCAATATTTTTAAAAAGAAGGACCAGGTTGCTTTTACCAGATGTAGGAAAGTGGAATACCATACACAAAGAAAATAAAGTATTTTTATTCAAAAGAAATCAGTATTTTTATTCAAGAGAAATTAGTAATTCACAGCTTTGTAATCAAGTTGTCATGTGGTAAAAAGGGGCCAGTAATAATCCTTCAGAAGAGAACTGAATAACTGATGTCCCATGTGGCAGTTTAGCAGCCGTACATATGATGTCACTCCTAAAAGTACAAGTAAATGACGTCTTACATACGACCACCAAGCCATCACGCATTACGCAAATGCTATAAGAAGTACATTAATACAGAATAAAATAGTAGATGTCTTTGACTGATGACCTTTTTGATACCTAAATGGTGTTAAATGTAGTCTAATTAGAAGCAATTTTCACTTAATTTTGACTGTTATTAGACACTTTCAAATAACCCATAACTGAACAGCAAAAAAGGAACCAGAAAATTCACAATTTCTGTAGCCAAGACTCCAGATGACAAAAACCAAAAGGCAAATTCACAACATGGTGTCAACATTCATGCAATGAGTGATGTTAATGACTACTGCTGGAAGGGTATGGAAAACTGCCCACAAACATACCCATTTCAGAGACATCTACAATGTGTAACCCAGCTCTGTCATCAATCATTGTCAACTATGCTTACAAAAATTCCCCCTCCAAATGCAATTGACAAATAAAGTAGTTTTCAAAACCTGTGTAGTCCCAACACATGTGGAAAAGTCAGCAGAAACTTGTTGAGAAACAATTATTAGCCTACAAGAATGATGGTCAATATTTTAAAATGGACAAAGTTATATCTACAAATGCGACACTATTATAAGTGCTGCATAGTAAGCTGAATCCTCCAAAATTCATATAATTCTGGTTGTTTTTTTAAAAAAGATCATCATTCCATTTAAAATAGGATCAGTTAGTTTCAGCAACAGGCAACTGAAAAACATCAAATTGTGGTTTATAGTATTTTACCACAACAAAACAGCAGACATGCGGCTATAAAAATTCTGATTTTCCAAATGCTGGTAAACATAAATCACCCAATCATTACTTAATCAATCTTCACTGTATTCAAATATCATAAAGTTGGTGCGTGGTTAACCTAGACATTGTTGAAGACTTTTAAATAGTGTCCACAGTAACAAATGTTCAGACCAAAATTTAAAAAATTCAAAAGATGTTTGATTTCTTCATTTCATAAGAAATTTTTAGATGCTACATCTGAGGGTATCCAACTGTGAGTTCCAGAAGTGCACACAACTGACCACATCACTCCAGTCTTGGCTCATCTACACTGGCTCCAAAAAACTTTCTAGGAAAAATTCAAGATGCTGGTCTTGACCTTCAAAGCCCTATATGGTTTAGGACCAACATACCTGAAGGCCCACCTATTCACTTATGACCCTGAACAACTAACCTTGCCTTGGGTGCTTCTGCCTTCTGATATTAGGCGGATGGCAACCCAGGAAAGGGCTGTCTCGGTCATGGCACCAAAGCTTGGGAATTCTTTCCTCAGGGAGTTTTGTCTGTTCCCTTATGTTGCCATCTTCCAACAGTGGGTGATGACTTCTTTGTTTCACTTGGTTTTCCCTCAATGATCCCTCCTTCCTAACCAATATTTTATGTTTTGTACATATTTTAACTCTGTTTTTTTAGCTCTTTTAGAAGTTGTTCTAACAAGGTATGTTTGGGAAGGGGGTTTATTTTAATGGTTTTATAATTATTTTATCATGTATGTTTTAAATTGTTAGCCATCTTGGCAGTCCTTGTAAGTACAGAAAGGTGGGATATAGATTTTGTAAACAAACAAACAAATATGTATATAAAAGCCCCAGTGTGCATGTGTATAAGAGCCCCAATCCCTTGATGTAGTATCAGAATATCATTAATAAATTGTACATGAATACACATCTCAACCTTTCAGTTAAGTCTTATGGTGCACTTAGCAGTGCTTTTGGTGGCTAGTTTGTCCTTTTTACTTACAATTAGTAGAATAATTAGTAAGAAGCCATTGCCTTCTTTGTCCATTATAGATCCTTTGTAGAGCAATATTTCTTTTCTGAACCTACTGGGAATTGAAGAAAAGCAATATTAGTTCTAATTTATCCACTGTCAATCTGGAGATTATCCAACTCTTCATTTGTGGTCAAAAACATTCCACATGTGTGTACATACAAAAGAGTTAATATACCACCACAAATGATTTTCTTTTGTGATACATAAAATAGCCAGTAACATAAAAAGATAAGTAGCCTATTACAGTGGAAGGGAGTTCTAACTCAGTGGTTCTTAACCTGTAATCTACCTCATCTTTCTGAGGATGCAATATTATTATCCAATGTTCCCTCCCTTAGCCAGAATGAAAAAACTTTTATCAAGTTGCATTTATGATATATGCATATAATATACAGGTCTTAGGCATACGTTTTATGAGACCCTTATGCCTGATGACCATAAACCAGCTCATTTATATTGTTGGATATTAGTAAGTGGTTGCCTTCAAAAGTTCTCCAAAATTTCTAGATAGCCCCCAGGAGGTGGGGAAGCATATGGCCCCATTTAAAGATCACTGTTCAAACTGGATGTTTTTCGCACAAATGGGTCTCCTCACTCCTGCATCTGTATTCCTCCATGGCTTCTTTAGTTTCTGCAGAGGTATTTTTCAGTCCAAGGAGCAAAAACGCAGTTTGCTCCCTTTTGTGGCACAGCTAGGGAATTCCTGGAAACAGGGAAGTCTGATGCTGCACAGCAAGAGAGGACAAACTTCATTTTTGCACCTCAGAATGAAAATACCACTGCGGTAATGACCGAAAGAGGCGGAGGAATACAAATGCAGGAGCGGGGAGACCCGATTGTGCAGAAAACATCTTGCTCAAGCACAAAATAAGGTTGGCTTGCTCTCTTTACAAAACAACATGTTGCTCAGATTCTAATAGGATGCCTCCTTAACATAGCATCCCAATATGGGATCCAACTGAAAGATTTAACATAAGTTTTCTATAGCTATATCCTGAATTTGTTATTTCTTTATTTGCCCTGCCCCCAGTTTCGTTTCTCACTCTACTTGCTGCCAGTCTTTTCCCTTTGCTTTCTTGTCTTCCTTCTCTCTCCAAAAGATGGCCAGGGTGCTCCTTGCACAGGCTGCCTCAGAATCCAGTCAAAACACAGTTAACCTACTACATGTCACCACAGTACTGTTGTTTTTTTTATAGAGGACTAGGAGAGAATGCGGGAAGTGTGTTAGCTGCGGCAGCTCCCAGATGAAGACAGCAGAGGCAACAGTGAAGGCAGTGGGCAGGACAGGAGACTGGCAACAGGTGAGGCACCTGGGAGTCTGCTGTACTTAAAAAAAAATCACCTCAGCAGCCTGAAACAGTTTTGCCTAATGGTAGAGTTCACCCTGTAGCTTTCATTTGGACTAATTTTTAATATTAGGTGGCAACCTTATAGTGCTTTTCTAAACAAAGTTGACTTTAGTGGACTCAGAAGGGTGTCAGCTGAGGATGGAAAAAAGGGTGCTGGTGGGGAAGCAGCACAGTTTGAAATGATCATAGCGCTTCTGAGGGAAGAGATATTTGGCAATTGTCAGAAAAGTACTTCTACATTAAGAAGAAGAAAAACTCCAATGTCTAAATATATTAACACTGCTCTGAGGGAGAACTTAGATTCTCAGTAAGCAAAGCTACAGAACCTTATACAGACAAGGATACTGGAGAAGGATTTGGCAGAAGGTCTGGGAAGGTAGAAAAAATTCCCAGACAGGCCAAACAGTAAAAGGAGTTATTTATTTATTAGACTAGAGGTGGCCAAACTTGCTTAATGTAACAGCCACACAGAATAAACATCAGATGTTTGAGAGCCGCAAGACATGAACAAATATTACACACATGTTTTTATTGAAAAAATATGCAAATTTGCTTTTTACAAACATTAAATTAGACTGTGTGAAAGAGCCGCATGTGGTTCCTGAGCTGCAGTTTGGCCACCCCTGAATTAGACTTACTAGGCTGCCCTTCCCTGGAATGGGCTCAGGGTGGCTTACAACAGAATAATACACAAATCTCAATTTAAAACTAAATTAAAATAATCTGGCAATTTCCAGTAAATAAAAACACATTACATACAGTATATAAGATGCCGGAAAAGAAATCTCACTCCCCCTGCCTGCCTGGGGGGAGGGTTTCGAAAGATGGAGAAATTAAATAAAGGTGCCAAAGAAGCCCTGTCGCTGTCCTCAACAGAAGGCCTGGTGCCGCAGGGCACGGATGTCTTCCAGTAGAGCATTTCACCAAGCAGGGGCCAGGACTGACAAACTTCCACCAGAAAGTTTTTTATTTCCTGAGAGTAGCGCTCTTCCATGGGCATACTGGGAGAGGTGGTCTCAAAGATATGTAGGTCCCTGACCGCTAAGGGCCTTAAAGGACAATACCAGAACCTTGAACCTGATCTAGTGCTCCAATGGAAGCCAGCGCAGCTCGCGCAGCACTAATTGAATGTGTGCTGTCCAAGGGGTCCCAGTAAGGACCTGTGTGGCTGCATTTTGGATCAGTTGGAGCTTCCAAGTCAGGCACAAGGGCAGGCCCATATAGAGCGAATTACATTAATCCAGCATGGAGGTGACCATTGAATGGATTACCATGGCTAAAGCAGGGCGAGACAGGTAAGGGGCCAGCTGCCTAACCTGGCAAAGTTGGAAAAATGCCTGGCTTCTTAGGGTCAAGGATAATAACGTCCTGCCAATAAAATAGCCGCCCTGAGCCCATTTGGGAAGGGCAGGGTATAAATCAAATAAATAAATAAATACATAAAATGGGTTGGGAAGAGAACTCTGGTCTGTCATGAAGAAGAGTTGCTTAGACACCTCAGGAGTTAATGAAAAGCTGTATTATCTAAAGGAAAACCTGTAACATCTGAATGGAGAAATCTAGAAACATCAATAAGAACTGCATTGTGCTAAAATATGCTAAACAAAGTACCTCTCAAAGAAAGAAATAGAAACCCTTGAAACAAAACTACAAATACACTGTCTTGAATGTCCTATGAACTTAACTCTGTAAATATTAGAAAGTTTTTACCTCAGCAATCTCAAAACCTTGACTAGTTCATTTATACATATATTCCCTGCTTGTTTAATAAAACCTTTATTCTGGTCCTGTTCATACGAGCCGTTTGGGCCGGGAGAAGGACGGATCAGGGCCGGAGCAAATGGGCGCGATCCCACAGCAACATCTGGGGAACATCGTGCTTCCGTCTCCGATCCGTCCCATCCCGCCCATACAGCGCAGCAAAAAAGAACCACCTCCCTAGGTGGTTCTTTCGGATGGGCCGCGGCAAGTGCGGCCGTGGGATCGCCGGCGCGTCATTGCGCCGGCGCATCCCCGGCTCCTGGCCGAACTGTGCATGTGTGCGCATGCGCAGTTTGCCAGGCTCCCCTTCACACCGTCGCATTCTCCCCGGCATCTGATCCGTGGGATCCCTCCCCGGCATCTGATCCGTGGGATCCCGCCGCGGAGTGTCAAGTTTGGTGCGGCTCTGCTCAGCCGCGTTCCAGCCGTCCCGTGTGGCAGGGACCTGAGTTTCTGAAAGTTAATTTGCCTCAAGTGCCATTTCTGAAGGGTTTACAAAAACTGGACAGCTCCTGTATTTTCAGTAGAGTTTCTGAGCTGAGGAAAAGCATAAACTAAAAATCTCAAACAGGGTGGGACAGTCAAGTCTTTTATGACAAAGAATATATACACAATACTGTAGGGCAACTTAGGCTCTGGGGAACTGAAGATCTAGCGGGAAAAATCTGTCACACAGTTGGGGAGATACAGGGGTTCGTCATAGGGGCCTTAGTCACTTCCACTCAAACTGAGAGGACTCTGTCTATGCCCTCAGAGCACATAGCCTCAATGACTTCAACAGGTCTAAATCAAATTTAAACCAAGTAATTCTTTTTATCCCATTGATAAATAAGCTGTCCAGGTATGGTGGTATTTTCTTGCTCACATTCTGCATGATATGCTATTTAAGATTACTGGGGCAATGAAACAGGCTAGTAATGTATTTTTATGTCTCCTACAGTATGTTCCACATACTTAATTTTATAAGTTAATATTTAGTTATTATACCCTTAAGGATGCTGTCAGCTTACAACAATAGTTCAGTATTAGTGCAACTCTTTTTATGTGCAGTTTTAGGACACAGCCCAGCCACAAGTTAAACACTTTTGAAGTCTCACTGATTTCAATAGCCAAATATATAATGTGTTCTAATAGAAATCAATGGGACTTATAAATGCTTAAATTTTCTACTTCATGCACCCCTGGATACTGCTTCTGAAATTCTTATATATTTCTGTAACATTAAATAGATAGCCAATGAACAATAAAAGATAATCTCACTTAGAGGCACACAGACATAACTCTGCACATGCAGAGCTCCTGTTCGTTTAATCTCTTGTTTGCTACTGCAAAGGCGGCAGCAGAACACAGTCAAAGGGAGCCACTGGGGCAACCTGATGGAAAATATCGTATGGCCAGCACTGAAGGACAACTGAGTGTGAAGAAGACATGTAATTGTGCACGCCCCCCCCCGAAGCTGTCTTATACTCTGCTGTCAGTCATTCTCCAGTGCCTCAAAATTACTGAGCCATTTACAGTTTGAACTGAGATGTATTTGGAATTTATGTGCTAGATTGGCATCTGTGTCCTTGGCATTAATCATACTAGACAGTAGATGCCAGGGGCCACTGCTATCACATCCTCAGCATCTGATTATTTAGCCCCTTACATCAATGAAACTGTCTTGATTGCTAAAAATGATTTGAAATTTCTGTTAGTGTAATTGTAAAGCCATTAGAGCTGCTGCAGCTTCCTCCTAGTCTTCCATAAGGGAATCCATGTTGGTAAATGTAGAGCATGGAATAGGCCATTGTAGTGACATACAATGTACATGCGTAAGGAAAGAAGCACCGCATGTTCTCCTATCACCAGAATTCCTAAGTAGCAGTACAAGAATACACACATGAGAAGAAAAAACAACAA